CTCTGACTTGGAATGGTACTAGCACTTAGATTTCTCCAGGACTGGTAAGATCTTTGGCTGAACCCCTTGGAATGCATCACCAAGGCAAGAGCCATCACAGGACTCATTACCACTTCTTCAGAGTTCTGAGTCCTTAGGTGAAAGAAGGCTGGTTCAGTTCAGTTATTGGTAATCAGAGCAGCTCCAGGGCTGCTCACATCTTGACATGCTTATCAAGCTGTCAGAGTGGCTGTTCCAGCACATATCATTGAAATGCTGGAGAGAGGAGTTTAGCCCTGGTCCCCTCACAAAATGAATTTTGAAGCAGATGTCAGGTCATGAGAGTACTGCCCACTTGTGTTGGACAGTGTGTGTGCCTGAGCTGATTCAGGTCTTACAAAATTTTCAATAAGCAAAACAGGGACAAGGACTTTTCGAAGCAGCATGTGAGACGACCAGTTAGCTGGTGTCCAAAGACAGTTTCCTGCACCAGGATATAGCCCAGAGAGCTCTGAAGTACCTCTTGCAAGTAAACTGACTCTCCCAATTGTGTTCATTAAGTAACAAAACTCCCTGGGAATACAAGTGAATGTACAGGAGAGATGTCAGTGCAAACTGTTGTCCTGGACTTACAGCAGAAATCAGTTGCTTGTCTCGTGAACAGGGTTCCAAAACAACCTTCAGCCTCTTGGTCTGTACATGCTCAGTGTTGATTCAGAAAACATGTTTCATAAAATCCTCTCTGGATTCAAATTCATAATCTATCATCTGTCTGGTTAAAAAACCCAGACTATCTGCAAAACAGTTCCCAGTATGGTAAGTTTCTTAAGGCATTAGACCTTGTGATTAATTTCATATTGTTTAGCACTTGATTGTTTTTATAAGGGATGGTTAATAAAATAGACAAACTGTAAAACCCAAGGCAGGCTGAACGCCCAGCCTTTCTGCTGGATGTTAAAAGCCTATCTTTTTCAGTAAATGACATTAGGTGATTCTGAACGCTGCTGTTTAAAAATAGTTTTTAAGTCAGCAAGCCAAGAGGCTGTAGGATTTTTAAAAAATGTTCTTTGCCAGATGTTCTGATACTAAAATAAGCAATGGTGAGAGTGTTAAGTACTAACACGGATGGCCAGGATATTGTACAAGACAATACCTCACAGAGATGCACTAAAACCCCACAGAGCCTTCGTGAGGTGCTGCGCAGGGGCCCAGCAGACCTGCTGAGGGTTAGGCAGTAGCAGGAGCTTTGTCTGCACCTTCCTTGTCTGACCTGTGCAGTCCCCATTTCTGGAGGACACTCCACTTCCACTGTTACTGTCTGCAGGTCAGTAAAGCTCAGCACAATGACTTTCAGCAAGCCAGGATGTTTGGTCTCATTGTCCACAATGGCAAAGACACCCAAAAGCAATTGATTTGCTTGTCTTGAAGGTCAGACATCACATCATAAATACTTCACTGATTATCACGCCCTGACTGTACTGATTCTGAGGTGGTTTTACCAGTTTGTTAGTTAGTGTCTAAATTGTTTATTTATCTGCACCTCTTGTCTTTGTCCAGAAGGATCCAAGTTCAACACTTAATTTATTGTAGTAAGGCCTGGATCCTAAAGCCCCTCCTCAAGCAAGTCAGCCCCCATTTCCCAAAAGGCCAGTTTGCCCATAGCTGGTCACTGCTTTTCACTCTCTGCATATAAATGCTTTTACAGAAGTAACCACTGTTTCAAACATCAGGAACTGCTCATGGAATTTGTCTAAGCTATTCAAGGGATTAGTTGCAGATAAATGATGCTCTTCTGCTTCATATCCAAGTAAAGATCAAGAATTTATAACAATCCAGGAAGGAACAGAATTGTAAACAGAAGAAGTTAAAAGATGGTGTTTCCAAAACTGACTGTGATCCATGTGACACAGCTTCTGTTTCTCCCAGGAGACTGGAAAGTTCCAGAAGCCAGGAAGGCCTGGTCTGTGTACATGTCTGACTGCCCTCAGACCTTGGCCCTTGGACACCTCAAGTCATGGGCAGACCATCAGGAACCCAGAAAGGCTTCCATGAAAAAATCTGTGATTGGAGAAGATGCCATTAAACCAGAAAATTTCCATAACATGTCTTGGTTTATCACATTCATATCCAACACTGTTTTGTCAGACTATCAGGAAAGCACTGGTGCTGCAGTTCACACCAAGGTAGCATCCCTTCATGGCAAATGTTTTGCCATGCTGTTCCTTCTCAGGCTCTGTCAAGTGAACCACAATTCATGGAATACATGAACTATAGTTCTCATAGTGAACTTCCACATCAGGCTGTACAACAGGTCTTAGTTGATACAAATTTTGTTTGTATGGATCAACAGTTCCTCACAGTCCAAGCATCTATCTCAGTCTCATAAGCAGCATTCAAGCAAGTACCTTGGCTGAGTCCTGAAGGAAACCTGTCTGTTGTCTTCATTGAGGCTAGAATTTACCTTGAGTGTGTGGGACATCAGTGAAAAACAGCCTAGGTAGGCAAAAGGAGCTGGACAGAATCCCATGTTTGGAAGAGAGGAATGTTTGGATATAAGGTTTCCAGCATAGCCTACAATTGCTTTCAAAAAAATAACAGTTTTGAAGCTAAATCATTTTTAATACAGTTGTATTCTGTTGTCTGTTTGCAAAATCTGAAAGATTCCTTCAGCCAGGTTCAACCTTTAAAGTTACCTACAGGATAAATTCAAATCCATAGCAATGAAGCCCAGGTTGGACATCTTGGCCCTCTGCCATCCCTCATGCTCGTGCTGGTGATAAAGCTCTGCTCTCCATATTGCAGACTCGTGGTCTTGATCGTGCTAAAATTGTAGGCAAATGTAAGCATGGCCTCTCAGCTTCTATACAGAAGTCTGAGCCCTTACAGAATAAATGCCAACCACAGAAACAGAGATATTTCCTTTTTGATTGATGCTATACCATCTTTACTGTGGATGTTGTATGTTGCTTCCACTGACGTGTAAAGAATGCCAGAAAAAAAGCTCAGATTGAACCCAGTTAATTAAAAGGATTCACACAGATGGTTTGCCTGGTACTTTACAGAGGCAGCTAATTAAAGCAATGTTAGTCAGCACCATTAAAATGCCAGATAAAGCTTTTGGAGCAATCCTGATTAGGAAGCAAGGTTTACAAATAGAGCTTTGAGCAATGCAGTGTATTTGCAGTTAATTACTCTAATTCTAACCTGTCTTAACTAAGGCACAGAATCATGCATGCTGATACCAATATTAATGACAAGATTTTTAAAGCTCAAATTTGACACTTATTAAAATAATCCACGATGACTCTAATTTCACATTCCACAGGACAATATGATATCATGGGCGAATCTGAGCTCCTCTAATCTATGAGTCATTCAGGTATTGGTCTCTGCAAATGTCAGACCACGAGCCAAACACTGCTTTAGGACAGGCATCCCACGTGGGCACAGCAACTTCCTGCTGAGGCTGTGTGAACAGGGCCTTGTACCCAGTCAAGAACCATCTGTATTCTCCCATTTCCCCTTCCATTTCCATTTCTTTCCGGTTTTACTGCTCTTCCAGTTGCCCAAGAGGCAAGGAGATAACTCAAGATTATCTCTCCTTCTGCTTTCCATGAGGTGACTCTCAGAAAGCCCAAGAAACTGTGGAGATACAAATTTTGGGAGCTAGCGCAGTCCTGGGATGTGCCTCTTTATCCAGGTTTTCCAATATTTGTGCCTAAGTGGTAGATGAATTTGTCACTGGAATCTGTTGCTGATGACTTGCAAAGGATGTGTCTTGGTGGGAGGACACATCTTGCCATTCCAGAATGTCCATTACTGGCAAACAAAGTGTTGAAAGCACTGCATTTCTGTGCCAAACACAGGTGTTGTCAGAGCTCTTTGCCTCTTTTTAAGATTTTGGAAAGGTATCATTGGACACCCTTGACTGCACTGAAATAAAGATGTATCTGATGTTTCCAAGTGCAAATAATGTGTGTCAGGCAATGAAATGTCAGATAAGGAACATGAACTGACTGCCAGTCTCCTACAGAATGGACTTTGCTGACCCAATAGACTCTCAGACACTGTAGTACATGTATGTTCCACAGCCTGATTTGACATTTACCATTCAAAATACTATTAATATGTGATGGACCAGTGTAACTAGATATATGCTTTGATGGATAACTAAATGTTAGTGTTTAATGCCAGCACACGCCGGCAGAAAACTGCTCTTTCACTTGAGCTCCCAGCTGGAAAATGGGCATTCTGTGGTATCGTGGTGTCACAAAAAAATCTCTCCAGGTTTATCTGATAGGTAATGAAAGGAGCTATAGCAAAACCTGATTTTTTTAGGTCAGGTTTCTTTTACATGAAAGCCCAAACCCACTGAATGAAATTTCAGCTGCATTCCTAGAAATTTGCAGTGGTTTGGGCTCCAGAGAACAAACACTTCACTGTTACTTCCACAGAGCTCTTGTTTGAAATGTCTTTTCCCATGCTGAGATGCTGAATTCATGTGAGTGTAAATGTATAGTGCCAGGTCCACTGGCCAAGTGGAATCAAGTGGCTTACATTTCATAGGTAAAGTGTAATCCCTTTGCACAGTTTATCAAGTGCTGATAGTTAAACAGTCCAGGGATGTTTTAGCATAAGGTATGGATAGCTTTATGTCTTAGGAGGACATTTAACCACATAAATTAACAAGTGGGCACATAAATGACACCCATCTGTCCCAATATCAAATGCTACAGAACAAGAGAAAATACTGCAGCATGAGACAGGGCCATTAGAGCTGGCATTGCAGTTGATCATCCACATCCTAAGATTAACTGGGACAGTCAACTCAAAGTGTGAATTACTAAAATTCAGCAAGATAGCAGCCTGAGAATATCACTTGTACTTTGTAGGATGACAAGACTTGTCCTTCCTTAACAAAGAGAAATGAGGGAGAAGGGAAGCTTTTCCTCCCCCATATTTACAATATTGCAAGTTATCAAGAACATTTGCATGAAGTGTTCCTTTCCCATTGCTTCCAGAGGACTCCCTTTTCTCAGTAAGCAGCAAAATCACTGGGAAATCCTGTGAATACAATGGCACCACCTACCACCATGGAGAAATGTTCGTGGCTGAGGGGCTTTTCCAGAACAGGCAAGCAAACCAGTGTGCCCAGTGCAGCTGCTCAGTAAGTAACACAGTCTGACAGAGCCCTGCTCTGTCTGTGCTCCAGTTCTCCTCTCTAGAAGACATGAGACTGAAATATAAGCAATACACAGCAAAGGCTGGGAATTGAGAATTAGTGCTGAAACTCCTGAGAGTGCTCAGAGCCAGTGTGCAGCACCTGGTAAATGACAGGTGACCTCTTACACACGGTGCACAAAGCATACCCTGTCAAACAACTGCTCTAAGTGAGCTCACAGTGCAGAGGCAGCAGGTAAAATACTGCTGCTTGGCACATAGAGAATATTTCACTTCAACCTGACTGGAAAATGTAGCACTAAGCCAATGACTGATTTCATTTGGACTGAGCTGATAAGTAAAGAGCACCAAGGCACTGGGCCACAGAGCCGTTCCTGAGGTGTCACCAGTTCAAACTCAGTATATTTGAGCACTCACCCAGTGACTCTTCAGAGCCAGTGTCTGAACCACGACATCCCTACCAATCCAAACAGCTCTTCAGTATCAACTATTGGCAACTCTGTACCTCCTCTTATCAAATCATCGTCATATTGTCCATTAACTAAGAATTTAGCAGGCCAAATGCTGATCAGACTGCTCAGACTTTTCACTGGTCTAATATTCTGCTTTTGCATAGAGTGGCATTTATATAAACAAGGATTTAAGCATGTCCATAAAAAAATGAATATACAGAAAAACCAATGACTCCTTCTAAACTCCCCTTGTGTTTTACTGGCAGGAAGGCAATGTGTACTGTGGGTTGAAGACTTGTCCCAAATTAACTTGCTCTTTCCCAGTGTCTGTCCCAGAGTCCTGCTGTCCAGTTTGCAGAGGTAAGATCAAGAACAGACTCTGAATTTACTCCTTTCCCTGTCAGAGCCCTGTCTGTCCACCAGTGCTGTCACTCAGGACAGTATCTGTGAGTTTCCCATGAAATTACAATCCAATGCATGTTGGGAAATTAAACCACAAGTGCCAGCAGGGTAACGTGGCTACCTTTGTTTTCCTAAATTGAAACAAGGAGAGAACTGATGATAAAGTTGCACCCCATAATGAGGTAAATCAAGGAGCATGAGGATCTCTGTGCAGTGCTGCTTTGCACACAGATTGTCCCTCAGTCTTCACTGCTTTGCTGTGTTATACCCACAGTGTCTTTACAAACCCTGAAACGTTCTGCCAGGCAAACTGCTTGTAAAGCTTTCTGTTCTCGATCAGGCAAGGTGATAGTCCTGGCTTCCCAGGGTGAAATACAGTGATACACTGTTTTAGATGTAATACTTTGACAGGTAATTAAAGTAAATCATTGTTAATCATCTGATTTCTCTTCCTATATAGTCATTTGAGCTGTATTTGAAACCAGACTCTCCCATTTACAAAAATCAATTTAACTTTCAAAGTACAAGCTGTCAGACACAGCTATACAGTAAACCAGCCTTCTGCTGGAGAAATCAGACACTTCAGCCAGAGTCACTAATGAGAAACCAGTCCATTTGCATTTCCATATGAGGGGTAAGATTAAATCAGATTATGCAGTAGAGGCGACCCACTGTCTCCACTGATGCAGGGCTTATTTAATTTATTCCTTTGTCAACTACTCTTATTTTAAAATGTTAAAAAGATTATTTATCTCATAATCAACTTTGTCCTTTTCAATATGGCATAAGCTGTTTTATCTCTGTGATTCTTACAAAATGAAAAGCTAAACAAAATGTTTGCATCAAGATCTAACACAGCTCATGGGGAGAAAACTGTGAGTCAGTTTTCCCTGCATGGCCAAATAGATTAACACATTAAAGTTTGCTGATTATCATATTAATTCCTCTACTACTAATACAGTTGTAGAGCTGGGTGAGACTTTTCCCCCATGTACTTCCCAAGGGCTTTCACAGTTACTCCTTTAACTGACACTGCTCTGCTTCACCTACAGGAGATGGAGAATTATCATGGGAACATTCTGATGGAGACATCTTCCGGCAGCCAGCCAACAGGGAAGCTGTAAGTGGGACCTACAATTTAAAGACGTATTTTCCTGCTGTGCTGTGCACTTGGGGTAAAAGAATAAAGGATGATACCAGGTCTGAACACCTATTGTTTCATCCTGGGTTCTGTGAATCTAGCCCAAAATAGGTTTCTTCCACTCAACCTGAATTCACGAGTAATGTTGAATTATAAACTCCCATGAGCTCCTGTGGACTCTGGATTTGGTCTTTGTTGTATATGCTCTATAAGGATAAAATTCAACAGCATTCTGTTTGCTGTTCAAGCATTTTTAAATCATAATTGCAAACACTTGCTTCCCAGTTAACATACATATATATGTATTTACTCTAGGGGCTTCCCTATCTGTGGGGCTAAGAGTTTCCATTAACAACTTACTCCTCAATAAATAATTTTTATAACAGTATTTGGAAGAATCTGAAGACCATTGGAGCCTTATGTGCACTACCCAAATACATGAACCAATAGGTCTTTAGATGAGTGGGGAGAATCATGCCTTCTAAAATGAGTGCTATAATCTATACTGTTCCTCCAGGTCCATGGACATTCTGAAAAATGATTCTCTGAAAACAGTGGTTTTGCTCTAGAAAGCATGCTGTGCACTACTACTACTACTACTACTACTACTACTACTACTACTACTACTAGTGCTACTGCTGCTACTGCTTTCCTTCGCAAATGAAATGAGACCTCCCAGGCTGTAAAACCAATTCTAGTAAGGCTCTGCTCAGTCTGTGCAAGGCTAACCTGGGCCTTGCATGAGAGTTTCAAGCTGCAAGCAAAGAAGCAGCTGGGTAGTCATTCTGGATGTGTTCTGCCACCGGAGCCACGGTAGAAAGCAATTTTTATGAAGAAAACTAGACAGGCTTAAAATTCTTCTCATCTGCTCCTAAAGTAGAGTAGAAATCAGTAAAGTAGATATCTAGCTCTGAACACCATTTTTAATAAATGGAGCAAAATAGGCACATCTGGGTCGTGTTTCTCCTTATGCTCTAGAGATCCACACCAGGTCAGGTTCTAAAATTGGCTCTCTGTCCATTGACAATTTGGGATTTCAGATGACTAACTCAGCTAAAGACACCTACACTGACATCCAAGACTGGTGAGATGAGTTACAGCTGCACACGTGGTTCATGATGTCTGGTGGGAGAGGCCACACTCTTGTTGCCTGTGTTAAGTTTCTGGTACAGCCCCTTTCCCCGTGTTCATTGCAATGAGACATTTACTTCCCTGCTCTCTTTCTGTCCCCAAACAGAGACACTCATACCATCGCTCCCACTACGACCTGTCACCCGGCTCTGCGAGGCAGGTAGTCAATATTCCACGATTTCCCAGTGCCAGGAGTAACCGTGGGGTCCTGCCAGATCCCCAGCAAGCCTCAGGCACAATAGTACAAATCGTCATCAACAACAAGCACAAGCACGGACGAGGTAAAGACAAGCACTTCCTACAGTGTCACTCTGGGTCAGGAATCAATCACCTACAGCTCACAAAGACTTCTCAAAATTACAGCAGGATCTTGGAAATTCACACTGGTATCAGGAAACCCAATGCAAAGCAGGGAGGCAGAAAGCAAACAGGATACAAAATTCTTTCTTGACCGAGATCAATTCCGCCTGCACAGACAACAGGGCAGTTCACCCTGCAAAGGCACCACACAACTGTGTTGCTCTCTGAGTTACTTTGTGGGATTGGGCTACACAACCCTTTGAACTCATGCAGTGTTTACCAGGGAAGTGAGTGCTTTGTGCCACAGAGGACACCACGATGCCTTTAGATTCAACAACTTGTTCACACATACACTTGTCCCATAGGAAATTGTTCACAGTTATTTTCTTCACACTCTCTCCTATTTTGTAACTTTACTGGCCGTAAACAGCTTATATTTAAACTGCCCTACAAATCTCAGACCATAAAGTATCAGGGTTTTTTCTGCCTCCAAGGCTTAGCAAATCATTCTAATGAAAGATAGTATCATGTGTTCCCCCTTCTTAAACTAGTTGTCTGAGACAGTGGGATACAAGGGATCCTTTTCCTCCTCATGACTAATATTAAGAGGCAGAGCAGGCAATTAGCCTGTACTGGATGCCTGAGCTGTAAAAAGGCAAATTTAACCAAGGTAATGAATCTCACTCTAAGAATCCTTTAGTGCCTCCTGCTAATTAGAATATAGGACACGCTATATTATGTGGACAGCAGAATTCTGGCCCCATGTGGGAAACCATATTCAAGCCATCTTCCTCATGCACTAGAGGAAGGACAAAAATAAAGGGAAAATACCAATTCACCAGTTAGTGGGACAGCAGGTTTTGTACAATAAAAAGGGTGGGAGGCTCAGTTCCCACAGTGGGTGTACCTTGGAGAACAGAGATCTGCAGGAAAAGGTCGAGGAAGACATAAAAGAAATAACTGTACAAACACATGCTCAAAAGAGCATTTATCCCCAAATACCACTCAATATTCACTTAGAAACTACCCACAAGGAGTTAAAAGCCCTTGTATTAGGGCCAGCTAATCTTTTAAGGTATTAACTAACAGAAGGAATGTTGGCTATAGGATCTTTATTATCCACCTGAACAAGCATGAAAAAACATTCAGATCATGCCAGTGTTTTCTGCTGAATCTAGGAGCAGGAATCTCCATGCAGTGCAATGTCTTTGACATGGAGTTCACACATGAAGACATCATCAAAGCAGTTTCTAACTGACTTGCTTCAGCAAATAAAGAGCCTACAGACGAACAGCATAGTTCTGGATGCAGTATAATTTCAGACACTCCCTGCCTGGAGAGTGTCTGAGAGATCCCCCTGATGGAAACAGGAATGCTGACCATGGGTTTTCTTTTGTTCCTGTGCAATTAACAAGTGTTCTATTAATTAATGCACGTGTCCCTTGAGATGCATTTCAACAGGTTAAAAAATAAATACACAGCAACTCTCCTGACATGGAAATACTGTGTGTACAGATTTATCATTCTGAACATGAAGAGCACTAGAAACAGGGTATCAGGGAACTTGGAGTTATTTGCTGTATTTTGGCTTCTACTAGAGGCTTCATCTGCTCCCTAAGAGTAATTATTTAACTGTTCTGTGCTAAACAACCCTTAAAAGACAGAAAATGTGTATCCACACAATGTCCTGTATTATCCCTTCTCCTGTCAGGGAGAAATCATAAAGGATTTATGTCCATAAAGAATCTGGAAAACTCTGGTTGGGGGAAAAAAATCCCTGTAAGCAGAGATATAACTAATAATATGATATTTCAGCATGTAAGCAGCCTGCTGAGCAGCTGAGTGCCTACCAGTTTTCTCATTTATAGTTTTTTCTCCCATGTTCTTAGTATACAGATAAAACATGGCTTTTTATTTGAGAAACAAAACCATGCCTTAAGAAAGAGTTAAAAAGTAGCAAGTTAGAAACCAAATGATAGCATAACCCCATGAAAGACAATACATTGCAAAAAACACTCCCCATAAATCTCAGTAACTCAGTGAAGTATAAGCCAGTTGGTTACATCTGTTACCAGTTAGATATAAATTTCAGATTACAGATAAAAATTAAATTGCTTTTGAAAGTTACAGGCAAAATTGGAACATATTTTACAAATAAAAACATTAATAAAAATGATGGCATATTAGAAGAATTGGAAATATTTACAACATATCCCAGCTTCACTTCAGTTGCTTTTAGAAATCAGGCTGTGTCCTTTATTTCACCTTGTTAGGATTAGTCTGCATTTTTCTTTGTGTTTATAAAATATTTAAAAATAAAGAAGTAGGGTTTATAGGACAAATGCAAACATGGTGTAAAGTGATATAACTCCCATCAACTGCTGGGTGACCCAAAGTGGCTTCTACCAGGCATGGATTTTTCCACTCTCCTTGTGTCAGCTGTATTTCTCTGACTCCCAGGGGCTCTGATGAATAAATACTCTGAGGCTCTGAGATGCTATTGGAATGAAATTTCAGTCCCATATGCATCCTTTCACGTTAATGTTTTCTTGTGATTCCAAAAGCCAAATGGCTCTCTATACCTACAGACATATATATTTCCACAGAGGACATTAAACCTCATTTTGCAACATTCCCTTGCTTTGTTCTGCGTGTTATGGAGCAGAACTCTCATGCAAAAGCAATAAAAGGCCCAGGTGGCACTAATCCATCCTGCTGATGGCATGGCTCTCTTCAGCTTATGGCTGAAGCTGTGCAGATGACTCAGTAGCAAATGACATGATTCTGTCATCTGCAAATTCAATTCCAGCAGCCAGAGCCACTGTAGCAGGCTGTGTCCTGTGTGTGGACTGAGATTAGGAGGGGAAGGAGGAGTGAGTTTTATGAGCTGGTTAATGGTGCACAACTGTTTTCCTCAAAACAGCAAGGGACATCAGTCAGCAGAGTTGGAACCACGGCAAAACTGCTCAGAAAAGGGTGAGCACGGGCTCAGACTCATTTTGAGCAACGAAACCCCAAGTTAAAATTACCAAGCAGAGAAATGGGCCAGAGAGACACTAACAGATGACATATGGAGACACTGCTTTAAACAAAGGTGCATGAATCAAACAAATGTGTATGGAGAGGCAGCCAGTGGACATACCTTTTCCATTTGTACTTTTCCTTCTTTTTGTTTTCTTTCCTAGTTTGTGTTTCAAATGGCAAAACATACTCGCATGGTGAATCTTGGCATCCCAATCTCCGGGCCTTTGGAATCGTAGAGTGTGTGTTGTGCACCTGCAACATCACCAAACAAGAATGTAAGAAAATTCACTGTCCAGAACAATATCCCTGCAAATACCCTCAGAAAGTAGAAGGAAAATGCTGTAAAGTCTGTCCAGGTAAAACAAAGTTGATCACAGACCACCTTTTTGCTGTGCATGTTGAGGGGCTTGGCTCAAGCCTTCCAGTCACAATAACCTTGATACAAACAGCAGGAGCTGTGCCCGTTCTAAGGTGTGTGAGAGGGCTCGCTGGGGCAGAGCTGCTCCTCAAACAGGGGCCAAGCTGCCTGGCACATGTGTTCTGATCACTCACTGCCTTCCTCTCTGCTGTCAGCACGACTTCCTAACGCTCCTTTCCAAGAGAGTATTACAGAAATGTATACAGAAAGTTCATTACTGTCAAGACTCCTGTCCTTCCCCCATGACAAAACTTTCAAATCATTTTATAGCTTGTGAAATCTGTGTGGAGGTAACATCATTTCTGCTTTTTAAAATGTACCAGAAGGATTCAAAACTCCGATTGGTGTCAGTTACATAACTTAATCCATAAAATAAATGCTAGCTTATCACAGATTTAGCATTGTGTCTACGCTGCACTAATGATAAAACTTCTGTAGACATTACTAAAATAAATGCCTACAGCTAGTGACAAATCTGCTAACAGGGATCTGCTGATGGTCTGGCAAATGACCAGCCATGTTGCATGTGATACTTTTAAAAGGTAAAGGAGTGTCCAGTTCCCTTATGTGCCTTTAAACTTCTTCCCTAACCTGTACAGCCCATTTCTGTGTTTATTTGCTGATGCACTGGGCAGAAATGCTCAGCCAAATATAGAAACCTTCATAGAATGCACAATTGTCATCTTTTGCTAGCCTTGCTTACTGGGGAAAAAAGCAGTGGCAGTAGGCAGGCAGGAGGTGTGTTATCTAGAGCTTTTGGATACTTGTGGAGCAGAGATCCACAGCTTTCAGTGGAAGAACAGTCAGCAAAACCTGGCTAACAGGCTTCGATTGAAAATTTAATGGCAAAAAGAAAGTTACTGTCTTGTTCTTTGAGATTTTAAAGAAAGCTAAAATCTTGTATGTGTGGAGAATCATTAGGTGTTTCCACAAACAGAAGTCCAAGCCTCTGAGTTGCATCATCTCTCTTACATTCTTGTCCAACTTCCAATTGCAAACAGAATAATTACAATTTTTACTTATGTGCTCTACAGCTTTACCAGGTGAGCAAAAGATAATGTGCCCTGTGGCCAGCCCAGACTTGCAGTGGCCAGCTGGCTGCTGCTGAGCAAAACACAAACCTCCCAGGTTCTGCCTGCCCTTCTCTTCAGTAAAGCATTCATTTGGTTTTCTTCACTCTGACCAACCACCAATTTTCATTTAGTTATTACCTCTGAGATTTCTACCATTATTTCAAATGTTCTTGAAAAGGGGACAACAGATTCAAAAACTGTGAGGAGTCTCCCAGACCACATGGTGTTACAGCTCATTTCCTTAGGAGACTGGATTATAACTATAAATACTGTCGTGCCACCATGACCAGGTCACCAGAACCTGGCAGAACAGAACGCTGTGAAGTGTCTGGGGCTTAGCTGGAGATGGATTTGAGTGGACATACAAATGAAAATTCTACTTTTAAGCTAAACCTGCTTGGCTATTCGTGCCAAGTAAGTTCTGGAGGACTTGATTACAGCTGTAGTATGTGTTTTGGGCTTTTTTTGTTGTTGTTTTTAACAGAAGATGTGCCAAGTCAAACCTTTGACAACAAAGATTACTTCTGTGGGAAAGAGACATTTCCTGTCTATGAATCCGTTTTCACAGAAGAAGGAGAAACCATCAGGAAAATTGCAATAGAGACTGAAAAGCCACCTCAGATAGAAATACATGTGTGGACAATTAGAAAAGGTGAGTTGAGCAAGTTCTTTCTTTAAACAGTGTATAATCTGCCATTAAAATCCCAGGATAGTTTACAGATCCAAAGATTTGGAGACTGCTGTTCTCTCTGGCTCTTTAGGATATCACTGCTACAGCCACTTCCAACACAGACAAGTTTTGCTGAATAAAACCCATTAGGAACACACAAAGCTGTAGTTCTGCAAACTCCTGCCCTTCATTGGGAGCAAAGGCACAATGACAAACAGGTTGCCAGCAATGCTCTGTGTAATTTATTTCACAGAAATGGGTTTGAACCAAGTGCCTGGAGGTTCTTAATTGAGGATGGATCAAAAAGCTTTCCATTGAAATCAGTCTGTTCTATCTGCCTTAGTGCTGCTACATCCATGTTGGTCTAGAATATGGGCAAAAAATGTGTTAAGGATGAAAACAATATCTTTTACTAGACTAACTGGTAAAATTAGAACAAAACAGAAAAGCATTGAGAAGCACTGGTGCAAATCATGAACTTTCAGTGCAATAAAAATAATCTTCAGCCTCCTAAAAATCCAATCTGCTTAATCTATTTTAAGTAAAAAGCATATGATCCTCATAGGAAATCCTCACACAGTGCAGTGTACATGGAAATGATAGATCTCCAGAATGTGCTGTAAAGCAGAAAGCCAAGGCCAAAGTGGGAGCAGAAAAGAAGTCCCAGAGCACTGGATGGTTCACATGTACCAGGGGTGTTCAGGAAGTCACAAAGCCTCCTCATGATTTGACAGTGGTGTTGTGTGCTGGCTCATGGCAGGCAAAATGGTATCTGCAAAATGATCCTGTTTTTCTCCAAGACACTGGGATTTTTGGCTTCTCTTGTAATCTTACATTTCCAATTTACATAATAAGGAAAGATTCAGCTGTTTTGGAAAAGAATTGGCTGATTCTCATACCCCTCACAATCCATGGAAAAATTTACAGGGGATTAGCAAAAAAATGGGTGAGGGAGGGTGGAAAACAGAATAAAGAAAAAGAACAGGCTGAAAATGTTACAAAAAGGCAGGTTTAGAGCAAGGGGCACATTTGCAGTAACACACATTTCTCATTTCTTTGCTGAAGGGATTCTGCGTCACTTCTACGTTGAAAAAGTGTCCAAAAGAGAATTTGAAGAACTTCCTTACTTCAAGATGATAACAAGGACAACCCTTAGTAAGTAAAATTCTGACCTCTTGAGGTTTCTACTCTCCATATTATCATAGCTGTGAAAAACATTCTCTGCTACTCAACACAGTCAGATGGATGTATTAACTTTTCCTCCTCCATTTCTTTTTTGTATTTCATCAAGTCTGGGATTTTGATAGTAGTTAACAACTACTAATTCAGCTGATTTGATGGTTGAACTAAGATAGAGATATTCTTAATTGCCAGTTCTTTTGCATTACAACTTGTCATTTTTTCTACATTTTTTTTTCTAATTAAGTAAAGAAGTCCTTTCCCAGGAAGAATATACTCTTAATAAGACAAGCCTATTGAGATACAGTAATTTTTTCATAGAAGAAGTTCCCTAATTTTTTGCTCTCAGCCTTGCTTAGCTTGCCATTGTTATCTGTAATGCAGTATTCTAGTTATCAGGACAGCATGCATTTATATTAACATTATCAAAAATGTTAATTACAGACAGAGTTCATAGTACATAAACACTTAGACGTGTTGCTTCCCACTTCTAAATACTTTGGTTTGCCAGGATATCCTGTGTCATAAGTGGTTGAATAAATAGAGCCAACTTACAGGACTAGTTGATTAAAGAAAATAATAATAATAATCTACTCCTTGTTTATTATTATTAACAAGGTGATTTTGCATGGAATATGTTACGTGACTGTAAGATACTTTGAATATTTTCCATGGGAGGATTGGACATTCCCTCTTTGACTATTGTGACTCAGTTGGTTTCCAGAGTGCTTATAAATGTCTTCAAAGTTCCCTGTGCCCTTTTCTAAGTCAATATCTGTCTCCTTTGTGTTTTTGTTTTCAGGCCAGTGGAAAATATTTAGCGAGGGAGAAGCTCAGATCAGCCAAATGTGTGAAAGCAGAGTGTGCAGGACTGAGCTCGAGGATTTGGTAAAGGTTTTGTACCTTGAAAAGTCTGAAAAGGGTCACTGTTGAGGGAGACAGCACTGGAGGGAAAAACATAAGAAAACTTATGAAAACTTGGATCTGCAGCTGGACTGCAGGCTTATTTTGCTTAAGTCAACAGTTGCCCTAAAAACCAAAACTATAATGCAGTAATTATTCACATCATGCACAGCAAATTTGCTGCTTTATGTGTAGTGGTCTGTGCCAACCATTCAAATATCTCCTCCAAAGACTAGGAGGCTCTGTATTACTGGTGGGGGAAGGAGAAAGAGAGACTGTGCTTTCCCAGAGTTGCATTTCTTTACAAGTTAAAAAGAGAAAACAGAACATTATTATTATTATTATTATTATCATCATTATTATTTGGCAAGTTTTTCAAACTAATGAGAAGAAGGACACCTAATAAATGTGCAGGAGCTATGGAGAGCATTATTTCCTGTGCTAAATTTATACCATTTCTGGTGTTGAAATCACTCATGGATTTCTCTTAGTAGTGGAGGAAAAATACAAGTGATACAATACTTGTGCTGGAAACATAAAAAGCAGATTTAAACCAACAAACTCCTAAGCAGCCTGCCTTTGGGATGATGTCTTGTAGTTGAGCAAACAAAGTCCATAAACTGAGCAGCAGGTGTTAGTGGCAACCACTATATTTTTGTAGCAATTGGAGCAAATGTTTGCTTTTAAGTGGTTTTCACTGTTTCCTCCACCCACTTCTCTAAAAATGTGAAGTGTTAGCTCCCTATCACAGCCCTAATAACTTCATTCTTCTGGTCCCTATTAACACATAGGGCCTGATAAACCACCTTCTAAAGTGACAGGGCAGAAGGCAGTAAAGTATTTGCAGTGTTTTCAAAACACCTAGAGCGTTAAACTCACAATTAATAACTCCTCCAAAATTGTGACAGGGATTAATTTATTTGTTCTGATTTGTTACAAACCTAATCTTCTGCATTTTTCTGAGAATGACCTCTCACTTCTCACGCTTCAAGGACATCCCTCTCCTTGACAAACAGCAAACAGATACAGCAGGCCTTTAGAGCACAACAGCTCTGTGACAACTGTTGTGAAGAAAAACAAATCTGAGAGAGTCTGTTAAATTTAGTGCAGCATGTCTACAGCCTGTCTACTTATTCTGCAGAATAAGTGCAAGTATAACTTTAAAAACTGTTTTCTCTGAAGAGTCACCAAAATCCTGCACTGCACCATGGCTTGGGATTGAATCCCAAGATGTGAGGGGCTCTGCCTGCTTTTGCTCCCATTTTCTACTCCACAAGCAGATGGGAATACTGCTGTTCAAACACACGCTAGGAAACAAAGCTTTATGGAATGGCCTGAGCCAAGGGCTGGGGCTTCACAGGGAGTAAAATCAACAGCGAGAGCAAAGATTTTGAGGTTTGTTATTCTGCCAGTGACAGCACTCCAGGGTGTCCCCATTCCTAAAGGGATGAAGGTGTGGCAGGCGTTGGTACTGGATGCCAAAGGCCTGTTCAGGCAGAGCTTCGCCATCCTGAGGGATCCTTGGCTCGAGCAGCAGGCCCTGGCAGCCCCATCAGCCCCACAGGCCTCAGGACCAGGCTCCTCCAGGGCACCAGGTCCTGCCCGTGCCGCCCCAGCCTCGGGAGCAGTGGGATACAGGGCTTCTCGAGCAAGAGGAGCAGATGAGGAGAACAGACAGGAAGGCGAACGAAAGGCTGAAGGGAGTTTGGAGAATACACACAGGGTGAGCTCAGGAGCTGTCCCTAGGCCTGGACGGAGAGCAGGCACAACCTGGGAACACCGGCCATTTGGAAGTACAGCAAGTTGAAATGCAGGAACACCTGGCCAGGAGAAGTCCTCTATCACTGTTCATTAAAAGGAGAGCTAAGTGGACTGTCCCACCCCCTTTCCACAGGGACTGTAGCTTTCCTAAGTCCTGTCCTGGTGTTGGACAGGGGTGTAGCATATCCAAACCAAGGTCCTAAGACCTCACTGCACCAGAGGTTACTGCAGTGTAACTGTAGAAGCAGCAGTCTGGCATCAGCAGCACTCATTGCAGTGGCATCTACTGGGTTGAAATGTGCTGCAGAAGTGTAAAAATTTATTATAAATCTTTAGGAAGAGGTTCTGAGGAACTGTAGCGTCTGGTGAGAAAACCAGCAGTTGATTTCTCACCCAACAGGCATTGTCTGTTTGTAGCAGTAGCTGGTGAAAAAAGACTAAGTGGGAAGTGTACAGTGTTTGTAATTTTTTTTTATGAAGAAGGCAACCTGCTTTTTGTATTTGTGACAGGACAGGTGGAATCCAGATTGTATATTTATTTTATAATAAACACTTTTTAAGAAAAGCAAAAAACAACCATAAGCATAATTTAGTAAAATGTAGTGGTGCGTTTTTCCAGTTTCTGGTCACTTAAGACAACAAAATACACAGTGCCATGTTCGTCATTCTCTTCATGAGATGTCTGTCTGTTACGGTACTTATTTATGTACTTGTATCACTTTGACCTGGTTTGATAAATTAATAAACCCTGACATTGATAATAAAACAAGATGGTTTGCATATGGTGCTGTTGTGTCAAGATGTTTGGTTTCAGTTTCCCTGTTTGCAGTCTGGCTGCTGCAGCCTCAGAGAAGGCAAAGCCACGTGCCCAGCTGGGTGCAGTGTGTGGCTGCCTGCTGGGAAATCGGTACTGAGCTATGGAAGGATCAGACTGGGAAATACCCAATTTAATTCAGCTTTAACCTACCCAGCAGGCTAAATTTTAGAAATCAAACCACTGCACTGACAACTGAGAGAACAGTACAGGACATACTGTTTTCTGGGCAATACATATTCTGAAGCTCAAAATAATTGGGGAAATGTTGATGGAGTCTGTCTGTGCTAATGACTAAAAAGAGATGACTTTCAGGAACATAAGAAAAAGATGTAAAACATGGCCTCACACATGGCTAGCAGTGTAACAAAAATGGAGAGAGTCAGCCTCGGCAAAGATGAGTGTTCAAAGTAAATCACTTTGAATCAATCAGTACATCAAATCTGAAATCCAAGATGTCCCTGGAAATTCCTAATGAAATTGATTTCTGTTATTTCATGGTACCCTTCATATTTATTTTGGCCACCTTTTCATTTTAGCAAGGAGTCTGCTACAAGAATCCTTTCCATGAGGACACTCCTTAGGCACGTGTACTTGCTCTGCTTCCTTAACTATGTGAGGGGTGTTCTTCCTGCTGGTTGCAGATTGAAAATCAGTAACATTCAGGGTTGCAGAGCTGCATCCCCATTGAATGTATACTCTCGATTTCATAACATCCAAATGCATCTTATTTCTCACTTCACTCCTATCCCCCTTCATGTCACAGGGATCACCTCTGGCTCCACAGGACTCCACAGGCCAAGAGAGGCTGAGTACTGAGAGACCAGAGCCCCCTTCACTGCTGTGTTCTTCTGAAAATACTTACACCTACCCTAGAACAAGAGAAAGAATGTGTCAGCCTAACTAACACTCTCATCTTCCTACACTCTCCATTAAAAAAAAGGTCAAAGCATTTCACAATTCAGATGATGACTCCTTCCAAAATAATTGATAGCACATGAAGTATTTGCGTAATGTTGGTGTGCTCTGGTGCCTATTGTGTTATCCATCTAAGATAAAAGCCAAGATTTTTGTAATTTATTGTGGGAGGGGTGAAAATTTACAAAGTTAATCCCTATTTCCATTTATTGCTTTTGTTTGAGGTTTGAAAAACGTCTTCATCTTCTGATCTGAGGTTTTGGACTGTTTTACTTCTTGGATAAAGTATGTCTGCAACTGCATGAGTATACGAGTATGAACCCACAACCCTCCCTTCTCACATAACACCAACCCAACTGTGAGCAAGAATGCAAAGCATCCAAAGCAAAAACAAATAATTGATTTTAACTTGGCAAAAGAGTTTTTAATGTAGACACACTGGATGATAGTTCAGCATGTTCACAAAGTGCACTGAGCCTGATTGCACTACCGCTTAAAGCAAAAACTCCCAATCTGTCCTCAAGTGACCTCAGCTCAAGAGACACAGATAGTACATCACACTAAGCTTTACTTATGGGTAACTACTACAAAGAGCACCCATCGTCAGTTATCTCCACACCAAAATCCAATCTATCTCCTATAGATTTACTCTCCTGTTTCTCTCTTCTTTATTTGTTTGTTTCAGGATCAACACCACAAAATCAGGCATGTTAAGGTCATGATAAATTCAAACTGCATTCTGTTCCTGTTGATGCAAACAGCAAAACCTCCAGTGTCTCTAAGAAGGGTCCCTGGAGGGCTCGCACTGATAACACTGTACTGGCATTACACCCATCAAGGATTCACTGTGTACCAAAGGCACATTTTACACTTTCCATAGGCAGATTCCCAATCACTTCATGTTCCTTAACCAGGACTGTTGCTCTATCCTGTTCCTCCCCAGCCCAGTTCTCCCCTCTCTGCCAGCAGCTGGGATGGGACAATGAATTGAGTTCTAATTCTGGAGGCAAAAATAGGAGCCAAGTGATGCTTAAGGTTTATATACTGGGGTATTTTTGTTCCACATCTCCAAATGGGAAGAGTCAGACTTTCCTTTCAACAAATCCAGCTTGACATTAACATGGCATTTATTCTCCTTTCCTGTACCAAAGTGTTGTGCAGCATGGCCAGGTTGTATCCTGCTAAATACGCACTTTGTGGTAGCTGCAGCTCAAAAGAGACTGAAACAGTTCCTACAAAAACTTTTCTTAGTGTACCCAGGGTGGAATGTGAAGTGTTGTAGAAGCATCAAACAAGAAAAGTGAGCTCATGGGCCAGCTTTTTCCTCAGTGAAATAAAAAGACACTATGTAGAAGTATTTATAGTTATGGCTGCATAACTATCCATAAACTAAAAGGCAACAGTCACCAACTAATCAATCTTCAGAAAGGTCTTCCTAGAAAAAGGAAGATTTGATTTTAAATGCGGTTATTTAGTTAACAAAAAAGTATTCTTCGAGACACATGTACAGCTCCAAGTGATGATGTGTTCCAGAAGGCTGGGGTTTTGTATCTGAGATCCTATTTTCAATTCTGTGCTATTAGAAAATATTTCCTTGCTTTGAATGCCTTATTATATATTCACATAAGCTAAGTCCCACAAAATCTTTGGGTTTAGGTCTAGCCAGACAGTGACATCCTTTCAAAAAGGGTCCAATGACAACATTAAAAAGCATTAGAGAGTCTTTACAATCAGAACTGATTATCCACTAAGTTTAACTTTGCCATTTATATTAATGCAAACCAGGTGTAAAATTATGCAACTAAATCCTACCAGTAGCCCTTCTCACTCACTTCACACTATGTGAATTATGATAACCAAGTCAAAATTAAAAAAAAAAAAAAAAGAAGTGATTTTGAGCTTTAGTAAATGTGCTGGAAATAAAACCCCTGCTGCTATTTTCTGTGAAAGATTTAGTTTATAAATTATGGATTGTCTTCACAAGTGAGAGGAAAAAAATTCAGATTTTTGTATTAATTTAGTCTAGAATCTCTTTTATCTTGCGATCATAAGCAACTGAAAGATTCCATTGATAATAATGGCCAAAGCCCACGGAGACTTAGGAACTTACAACAGCTTTTCCCACCCTGATTTTTCTTCTTACTTCAAAGTCAGACATTTTTTAAAGACCTTTGCACTGATGAGTCCCTGCTGAAGGGACTGGGCGCTTCCCATGACATCAGCTTGTAACAAGTTCCCAAATCCTTTACAGTCTGCATGTGTTGGGAATTATTTACCCCATCTAAATCATGTCCATGATGAGATCACTCTATCACAACATGAGACAAAACTATCACAATTACCATGCTCATGATGATTACCACTCACACTAATACATAGAGTGCCTGAGGAAGATGCAGTCACTGAGTTACTTTTCAAGCAGGAAGTTAAACCCTAGAGAAACTGAGGAATAGAGAAACTCCTGACAATTGAGAAACTACATTTGCACACTGAATGTTGCAAACTGCAGCTCTTTTTACTGACCTCTCCATCTTTTTTTTTTTTTTTTGGCTATGATTAAAATTTTGAAAGGATCATTTGTTAGAACAGCACCTTTCGAATGAAGCTCCAGCAAAATCAATCTACTGAAAGATTCTCAAAGCCAAGAATCCAGTAACAGCCAAATGGGCTTTTCCATTTCTTACACAGCTCAAACATAACAGAAACTCAACTGTTCCCTTAAAATGCATTTCCCTGTAAACCTCCATAATAGTCTCTGAAAGTTTTTTTGAAACTCAGTAGAAAGAGATACATCAAGTAGGATTTCAAAGAAAATTAACAGATCAAATTCTGTGTAACCACATTAAAGGGACATCTGACCCAATAGAAGAATGAGCACTTCAATCTGGACAGAAGGCACAGGAAAAAAATTTGGGCAAATATGATATTGTCTGTTATAAGTGTAAGGAGAAAGATTTTTCTCATCTTCCCATTTTTATTTTAAATTGCAGTTTTCAGAGCCACTGTTTATCTCCCAATGCTACTCCTGCTGAACAACTTGTGAAATCTTAATAGATTCCCAAACAGAAGTTCCCAGGGGACTGCTTAGCCCAGAGGATTAGTAAAGAGAGCAGAGCAGTTGTCACTTTGAGTTCTAGTTCAGGGCAGTGGGCTGAACGCAGCAGACCAGTTTTTATTGCCATCTCAGAAAACACAATCGAAGACCTTGCTTGTAAAAAAAGATTGCTCTGGTCTAACACATGAGAGGCAGTCAAGGGGAAACCCAGGACCTCTTCTGGGGCTGCCTCAATCAGATCAGCCAGTGCATCTTAAATCCACTGCTACTGCTCTACAATACAGTACCTAACATATATTACTAAATAAATAGCCAAAAACTGTAGACTTCCCACTGGTATCAAAGTAACCTGATTTCTATCAAGTGTCTCCTCTCTATCAGCATCCCTCCAGTCCCAGAGCTAAGGACACCTTCTTGTACCTATTCCACTCTGAACAAATCCTAGCAAAACAAGATTTTGTGGCCCAAAAAAGCAGGAGAGCCAAAATCTGCTTCCTAAGAACTCTTGACGACCTAGCTGGGAGAAACTCTGGAAAATTCCAGCTCTGCTGCCAGGGAAATCACAAAGGATCCTGGCCCATTTCTGCAAAAACTTGTGAAAAGCCAGTCTGCCCTGCCAGCAGCATAACTGTTATTGTCACTAATTGCCAACTGTGAGAGAACCCCAAAAGAAAGTTGGCGATTAGGCTTTGGAGAGCTCAGAATGATGTAATGTTTGACAATGAGCTTTTGACTTAAAGCAGGTAGTCCAACAAGTTGAAAGTGCATTTAGATAAAATATTTTACAGATCAAAAGCTTCGGGTGCCACATAAACTCTTCAATTTGAAGATCTGACTGTTGCGTAAGAGATGCCAAAATTGGGGAGGAAATGAGAAAATTTGACCTAAGCCCTTCAAAATGAGCTTTTAAATAAGTTAAAACAGATTGTTGGGCTCTTTCTTACACCTTTAATTTTGCCCTACAAGCTAATTACTTTGGATA